AATCTTATTACCAATCAAACCATGTAGGAGGCTGGGGACCTCACAATTCAACCCGGAATTATCCTGGCAACATCAGCCGGTTTATCTTAACGAAAATAATCTAAACAGCTAAGTCAAATACTCTTTCTGTACCATTCCCAAAACTTAACTTCCACTCTGACATAACCTTATAAAAACACAGTTCTAAGGAATTGGGATTACCAGCTCATCATCCTTAACCAATGTAGTCCTAACTATCCATCCAACAATCTTCCTACATACTAGTAGATTACCCGGGGCAGTTTTTTAGCTTTTTCAAATCCAGTCCAGGGTCGTTTTTTTTTTTTTTTTAAAGCTTTTCAAGTCCAGTCCAGGGGCGTAGAACGAAGCCCCTACCTACTGAATCCCACTCCCACTTTTGTGCCTTTGCCTGGAGCCCCTCTCCAGGGTATGTGGTAAACAGACTACCGGTAGGCCAATCGCCATGCATGGCCCAGTGGGCGTAGTCCCACTGTGCCGTCACGAAGTGCCAGGTTGATCCCACCGTCCCACCGCTCAATACGAGATTATTTACACTGTGCAGTGCTAAGTACCAGGTTGGTCCCACGTCTCCCTCACCAAGTTTGTTCCAAGGCCTGCCGCTGTGGGCCTGTGTCTGCAACTCGTCTGGTCGCCTAAGGTGCCCAAGCCCCCCCAAGTCCCGGGCCTCAAGCTGTCTCTAGCCTCAAGCCGGCCCGAGCCCTGGGCATCAGTATCATCATGGTGCCATCTACTTGCGGGGCCAAGGACCCACTGGAAGTCCCAGTGTGCAGCCAAAGGGGACCGGTAGTCCCAGGGATCTGATGGCCGAGGACCTACCTGGAGTCCCAGGGACCTTTTGCCAAGGACCTACCGGCAGTCCAAAGGGCCTGGTTCGGGCCCCAGGTCCTAGGCCCGGACCTAGCGTAATGGAATTGGTGGTTTCACAGGGACCTGATGGTGACCCCCAAGGCTACAATCTCCTACCCCCTGGCTGCGCCCCCGCGCCCCCGGTCACAGTTTTGGAGTTCCTTCCATTTCCGCAACTGCAGATTGCGAAGCTGTCGTAGCCTCGTCGCCGGTCCGCCGCCAACCTGGATGCGCCCCCACGCCCGAGCGTGGTATCAGTTTCTTTTCCCCCCAGCACAACGCACACGTGCTTCTACCTGGCTCGCTCTTCTCCATCTCTCTCTCTCTCTCTCTCTCTCTCTCTCTCTCTCTCTCTCTGTGTCTCTCTGTCTCTGTGTGCTACCGGTGCTACGTGTTTTTTTCTTTGGTGAAACATGCCTTGCTCACCATTGCTTGCTAGGTGGCTCGTTCTTTGGTGTGACGTGCTTCGTGTGTGCTAAGCGGTTGGTGATACGTGCTTCATGCGTGCTCCGCGGTTCGTTCTTCTCCATGTCTGTCTTTCTGTGCTACCGGTGCTGCGTGATTCATTAGCTTGGTGCTACGTGCTTTGTGAGCTTGGTGCAACGTGAATAGTGCATGCTTCGTGAACTTCGTGCTCTGACCTACGTGCCACATTGCACGCGCGAAGTGCTGCGTTCTACGTGGCACATTGCATGAAGTGCTACGTTCTTCGTGCGCTGCTGGCAGCGTAAATCTGAGCTTGGTGGTGCTTGATTAGTGAGGTTGGTGCTACCTGATTCGTGAGGTTGGTGCTACGTGAATTATCCTGCGTGCTATGTGAACTTCTACGTGGCTTACTGCAATGTGTGCTTGAGGCATTGTCTACTTCTGTGGAACTTGGAGAGGGCTGGGGTAAATCATGATAGAAGGCTTGCGCGTTGTTGGTTGATCGTTGTCGACTGGAGGCTTCGTTGGCATGGCTGCCTCAAGTGAGTCTCCATTTCTCTTACCTCCCTCCGCATGACGTCTCTCCTTCTTCCATCTGCCCGATCTCTGCCTGATCTCCGCCTGCTCTCCTCATCTCCGCCCTCCCTCTCGACCTCCGCCTGATCTCCTCCCTGCCTCCTCCCTCGGCTCTCTCCTCTCTCGCTCCCTCCTCGGCCACCCCTTCCTCAGCCCTTACTTCTCTCTCCATTCCCTCGGCCCTCACATCTCCGGCCCTCCTTCCTCCCTTGGCCCTTCCCCCTCGACCCTCCCTCCCTCCCTTCCTCCTCGCTCGTCCCTCCCTCCCTCTTTCCTTCCTTAGCGCTTCCCCCTCGAACATCCCTCCCTCCCTTCCTCCTCGCTCGGCCCTCACATCTCCGGCATGGTGCGTTTTGTTTTTCGATCCGCTCGCGCGCGTACGCACAC